AATTCTCAGGTTAGACCTTTTTAGAGGTTTTCCAGGAAAAAGGATTTGAAAGGAATACCTAAACTATTACTCGCAACTTTTCTATCTCTCTCACTAATTCGCCCCTGGAGTTCTCGACTGCGTCGTGAACACGTGTAGAGAGACGGACATACAGGGAGTTTTGGGGGCGGGTATATTTTCTTGTATGGGTATATGCGTGTAAGACGAAGTCTACACACACATGTACAAACGGGTCCATCGTCGCCAGCTGTGTGGTGAGCTGTTGGGTGTATGGTGGGAGGGAGGGGAGTGGAAACAGGCCTGACTGCTCCCCCTAATACTGGAGGATTGAATGGGCGAGGAGGGTGGTATTGGGTTCCCTCACGCCACCACCCACACACCACTGCTCCCAACCCGCTTGAGCCACCCACTTCTGTCCGCCTGCCACCCCGCCTACCCACCCACTCGCCACCCGACTGCCGTCGAGGAAACAACCTGCAACCGAACCAGCATAACGTTTCCTCGAACAACGATTTTCGTGAGCATCTTACACTTGGTCTTCGTCAACGGCACAGGAATGTAAGTAATTTCTAAGACTGAACACTTTTTCGTGTCCATACACAAGGCGTAGTGCGATTTCGCGTCGTGTTCTTCACCGCGTTTGTGTGCCTCAAGCATTCGATGTGTTCGGCGTCATCATCGTCTAGCGTCAGTACGAGTACTAGATCTTTATCTGTGTCTTCGCCGACGACGTTCCTCCCGAGACTCGTATACACTGCTTCACTTCTTTTCACGGGTTGCGCGCCAAGAAACGTGTAATCGGGAGAAAGTGCAAAGTGGGACGGCGAGAAATAAGGTGCGAGGAGTAAAAGCAAGTAGAGAGTGAGAATCGAATGTGAGAGCGACTACGAATGGTGACTACGGTCCGCGACGCGCAAACGAAAGCGAGAGGAGAGGCCACCGTCCCAGCCGACGTATTGTGTGTATCGCGAATAGGCCGCACGCGAATACCCATCGAGACGCGCGGAGCGCGCGGCTATATGTGCGACGTCTCGACGTCCGTGTGTTCGTTGGTGTTTCGCGCGCAGTGAGGCAGACGGAGAGAGGTGCCGGGTGCCCATGTGTGTTCCATGAGCGCGCGTGTGCGCGCGGGGGCGGCCATTCGCGGGTGCTCCGCGAGATCGTGCTACGCGATGCCCGAGCACGGTCGACGGGCCGACGGCGTTTGCCGCGGCCTTTTTCTCGTGCCGTGTTTACGCGTTTGCGGCAACGGGATGAGAACGGCCGCCGATGGCGACGGCTGTTTCGCGCGCCCCACCGGCCGCCATGCGTACAAGCGACGAAGAGCGAAGATCGAGGAAAGAATGAATTTTTCGACTGTACACACGCGACTATTTATGCGTATATGCGATCGTGTTGTTGTTGTACATGTGGATGCGCGGGCGCGAAAAGGAGACCTGTCTGGTCGCCTGATGTCCTTGGTACACCGGCAATAATTTCCGGATGGATTTGAATGGAACACTGTGCGCGTGTCTTCTCTGTCTCTCTCCCTCCTCTTATTCTCTCTCTCTCTCTCTCTCTCTCTCTCTCGTCATCTATCTGACTCTTTCTTTCTTTCTCGGGGATTGTGTCTTTGCCTTTATTCCGACCGAACGTGTTCCCGCCGCCGTATCATCTCTCCTTCTTCTCCTTTCAGACTTTTCTACTCTTCCCCTTTGCGCTGTAACACGTAGAGGTTCTCAACCAGGCGTAGAAACGAGAAGCTCCGCTAGTTCGGTGTACAACACCCTCTACACTCCACCATCTGTCGTTTCTAGGGGGACATGCCCTCGATCGGTGGCGGAGGGGCATATTGATTTATTCTTCACAGAACCCCTTCCACAGACATGTTCTTTGCTTTCCCCTCCGCGTGCACGTATATGGCCGGTCCCGGTATATGCGCACACGCACATACAACACAGGGTTACTGGCAGGGTTGTTCGGTTCCCCTCTCAGTTCCTCGAGTAATCGTGGCGCGCGATCAATACATGGCTCTTTCCTCTTTCCGGATGCTGTCGCTACCCCTGCAGAGTTCAACATTAAATTCACGCGTATGCATTATTTGATTTCAATCGATTAAAAACACGGTATTTATAAAAATAAAAGAGATGATATGAATTATTAAAACGATCAAAATAAATTAATAAATATATATTTATCAATCTAAAATCATGTCAAAAACCTATTTGCGAGGAAATGAAAATTCAATACTTAAAATACATAGAAAAAAAATATATATATATGTGTATATGTGTGTATATATGTATATATAAAAAAATATATATATATATGTGTATATAGAGTATGTAACATTTTTTTTCACACAATTTTTAAATCTTGACAAAATAATAAGAATAACTATTCTGTTAAAAGTAAAAACATAATTTGAAGAAAATTTTATAACAAACTTAAACTTAATTGATGAATATCTTCTAAAATTTAGGAAACTTTATAAAAAGCATCTTTATAAAAGCATCTTCTTAGAAAGAAATTGTTTATATTTATTTAAATACCGATTATAAAATTATAATAATTTGGAGCAATACAAAAATATGTAATAAAAATTATTTTTATATTATGAGATCAAATTTACAAAAAATACTGATATTATCTTAATAAGATAAATTAATGTGATAGAAGACAATTAATTGCATTTAAAATTAATAAAAAAATTAAATATCGTTAAAACTTTTCAAATTTTCCCTACGGCATATTTCTCTATTATTGATCGCAAGAAAAATATGATCCGTTCGAAGCGTAACTCGTTTTATATGTTATTGATTTTAAATTTAATTTTGTTAACTAAGTCGTTAGATATTTACTATGAAATTACTTATATTATTTTTCTAAGTCTTTGTGCTACTTCTCGTTTCTTTATTCTTATGCGTCACAAAATTCTGAGCATTTGAATATATGTACTTATTCTTTATTTATGATAGATACACGGAGATGTGTCATAATATATTTAAACGATAAAAATGTTGATAAATTGCTTTTATATTATCATTTTCTTATCATTTAGTATAATTTCCATTTAGTTATCTGATAAAACACCTTTAATATTGATCTACACACAATTGTGTGAAATTGAGAATAATAGAACTTTCCATATATAATAAAAATACTTTTATTAGATATCAATAATTATTCCTATAGCTAATACATATATTCCATTATACAATTTTATATATTAATTATTATAATATTTATTATATTTAAAAACTTATTATTTTTAAAATTGTTATAATTTTCTAATTTCTTATAAATATCTTAAATAAAAGAGAAATGTCGCTAAATAATTTCTTATTTTCAAATTTGTGGGCATCATGATTTGTGAGAATATCATAAAAACAAAGGAAAATAGTAATCGGTCCTCATTTTCATCAAGTTTATTTCAAATCAATCAACAAATGTTTAAATTTATTATTACTAAAACGATCATTAATCATGAAGATAACAATAAAATAATCTTTATTTACAATTATGTATATAAAATCAAGATGAATTAGTTTCAGTTGAGAAAA